CCCCAAAACCCCAAAACCCCAAAACCCCAAAACCCCAAAATTGTGCTAAAAAATTGAATCAATTAAATTTTATTTTACAAATGTTGCACACTAAGTATTTCAAGAAGGAAAAATATGAATATGAATCATCATTTGATGAATCATGGGCTGATCATAACTCCTCTTATGTCAAGAGAAATGCGAGATCTTCCTTTAGAGCTCAAGAAGGTTGCCCAGTTACTAACGAATGATTTTATCCAAAGCCAATCCCTCAGACTCCTGAGCTTTCTAGCGAAAGAAGGAAGTTTGTCATTTCAGATAGTTTGAAACAGACTGTTAATTTTTAAGAATGATAAGAAGGGGCCAAACTTCTCAAGAGTTTCCTTTTCTGTAGATAAAGATAATGATCGCTTTGAAACCCCTGCAGAAGACACTTATGACCATAAAGAGAGATTTAATCATGCTAAAGAGATTTCTGTCAATGATATCTGTGCTGACCCTGATTACTTAAAGCCTTGCTTGAGAAATTGAAGAAAGTCAGCCAGGAGAAACTCATCTTATCGGAAACCTTATTGAAATGAATTAAAGGATGATGTAATGCAATTTAGTTTGGAAAGACATTCTAGAGCCAGTAATTTTCAGAACTACAGGAGATCCTGATCGATGAAAAGACATCAAATAAATGATAGCTCTGATGATTCCTTTGAATCGCCTCATAGAGTCAATAATCAGAGAAGAAGCTTTTCTAAATTAAAGGAGGATTTCCATAAAGCATCAACAGATAGGAGACGTAGAACACTTAGTAGATCCAAAGGACATATTGATGAGTTATTTAATCAACTAAATACCAATGATGATAGTTCATCAGTAGAGAAAGATAGAGTTATCAATGTGTCTCAAGTACCATCTTATTCTTACTATAATCCTGGGTTGCCACAAAAGAAAGAGGAGATCAAACTTAAAAGTTACATGAATTCTAGCCCTTTTGGAGAATTCCAAAGAAATATAGATGCTAATAGAAGGTGAAAGATCAGGATAGCATATGGATGTGATGAAAAGCAACCTGAACAACCTAGAAGGAAAATTAGACAAAATAGGAGTATGTATAGAGAAGCTCCACATCAAATTGAATTAAAAGTTGAACATCCAAAAGAGGAAAGACGAAAAATAAAAATCTCAAAACCCTTATCTCCTTCAAAATTGAATTACAATTCTCAGATCAAACAAAAAGTGATCCCTGTGATTAGGAACATTTCTTCTAGAACAGTCGCACAAAGATTGGAGCAAGATCAGAGATATATGAAATTTCACAGTAAAGAGGATCAAATTCAGTACGATCTTGACCAGATTAAAAGAGTGATACACTTAAGTTCCTTCAACCAGTTTCCACCAGATACAGACCTGTACGAGTCCACTGAGAATGCTGCTCATGAACTGAAGAGCTTGATCGAAGTACTTGAGCAGGATTACTCCCAGCATAGATGTAAGTCTCTTAAATAACCAGACTGACTAACCTCCTGTAGGGTCAATAGCAAATTCCTTGTTCAAAGCAGAAAAGAAGCTCCAGCTCTTACATGAAGAGTTTAGGTATAATTACAGAGTCAATAGTTATTTCGAGAAGTTATAAAAGAAATACTTAAATTTAAGATTGATCAGCAGATGATATCCAAGTCTGGAGTGACGCTTTTCAAGTATGTTATTATTTATAATACTATGTAGGAGCATTGAGAAAAAGAAAATAAAAGCTTCTATTCAAGAGCCTGACAAACTAAAAGAAGATGAAAATTCTAAATGAAATGAACAAAAAGAAAGTTCTCCAGAAAAAGAAGAAACTCAAATTGAAGCTTCCTCTCAACAAACCCCTGCTCCAATAAAAGCCTCTCCATCAAAACAAGCTTCTCCTAAGAAAGAAGCTTCTCCTAAGAAAGAAGCTTCTAACTCCTGCCACTCCTCAAACTCAAGCTCAAAAAGCGATCCTTACGACTCAGACGAATTTGAAGAGCCTGAATCCGAATCAGAAGTCCCAAACCCTATTCAAGAACCTCTTCCTTCAGACCCTTCTTTTTCTAACTCAGCCACTAAGCCAAACCTTTCTGCCCAAAAGAATATGAAACTGAACTTGTCAGTGTCGAATTTGAGTTCTTTAGGGGTAGACTTTTCAGTGGAGAATTTGGTGAATGAGGTGAATGGGGTGGCTGAAGGATGGGGAGAGGGTAAGAGCAAAGGTAGGTGTAAGGGGAGATAGGGATTGTGAAGAGGTTTTGTAGGGGAGTGGGGAAGGATTGAGTGGTTTATGGGAGGTTTTGGGGGTTGGAGGTATAGGTTTGGATGGTTCGGCTTGTTTTGGTAATCTTTGGGAGAAAGTGAAAAGAATTAGTTTGAGATTGGATTATGGATGGGTTCTTCAATTATTGAAGATAGTTTTTGAATTGTTGAAACCTGATATTAATGTTCTTATAGATGGCAAGGGTGCGCCTGTGAATTTACTAGATGACCAGAGCTGACAAGAAAATGAAATTGATGAAATCTGAGAAAATAGGATCATGCAATGTGAAGGAATTGAAATTATAGCGGAAGAAAAGGAAGAAAGTGCGTATCAGAAGAGTTCTACTGGCTCTGAAACTGGTTCTACTGATTCTCTTGGAATGAGAAGCTTATAATGAGTCAAGGAGTTTTAGATTTTTGAATTTAGATAAGTAAAAGCTGTGTTTGGGGTTTTGGGGTTTTGGGGTTTTGGGGTTTTGGGG